ATTTCAAATTATAAAAAAAAGTATTGAGTTCCTATCGATTATCTTGATACTATCTGGTAAGATTATTTTGAGAGTTTTGCTGATAATAATCTCTTTTGGAGTGTCGATCATCTCGATATCGTTAGTATTCCTGGTAGACTATCCGGTGATGAGATTTCTGGATATCATATTTAGTGATTGATTTATCGAATCGATATTTGAAATAGAAAAGGTATTCAAGTATTACAGGAACTATCTCTAAGGTTATATAGAAATAACTAGAAATCTCTCGAAATAATTTAGACTAACTTCAAATAGGAATTCAATAAGGTATAACTGATTGCAATTCTCATAACTATATAATAAAACTAATGATTATTTTTTTAAGTATAAAGCTCTACCTTATAATGAAACTTATTCCTTATATAAGCCTTTATACTAAAGTCAATCAACAAATCGATCAATAAACCAATCGATAAGTCGATCAGCTTTAATTATATAATACTTATCCTGTAATTTCTATTATCCTAGTTTATCCTTTTGTTTTGAAGCTTAATCTTCTGGGATATTATTAATTTTAGTAAAGCCTTCTTGCTTATTATATTTTATCTTTTCCTAAAATCTACTATCCTAAGAACTATATTCTAGATTCCTAGGATATTCTATAACTAATATTATATATATACCTAAGGGATCGCAGCTCTTATCAAAAAAGCAGGGCCCTGCCATTGGGGATAGTCGCGTTAGAATATGCCAAGCTGCGATTTGTATTTCGATTAAAAACGATCAACAATCAATACTTGCTAGTAAATCGTTGAAGCTAGTAATACAAAAATGTGGACGAGGAGTAGGCATAGCAAGAGGGCCTCTTACAAGAATCCAGTGGCCTCAGCCATCTCATTCCAGAGATATAACACTTAAAGCTACTCTACCCGCACTTTTTGATTAACTACAAAACAGATCCAACAAAAAGATTAACTAAAAAAAAGCAGTTTAAGCCTTTAAAGAGTGATAGCGACAATTTCTATTTGAAAACTATACAATTTTCTTTAATAAATTAGAACAAATTATTAATTACAATATTATATTGGTTATAAATATGTAATATATTACAATGATATTCAAATAGTCTCTGGATTTAAGCAGATCCGAAAGCGATTCATATGTATTCAATATAAAAGCGATTAGAAGCATGATATAGATTGAAGTATTTAATTATTATGCTTAAAGATCCCTTAAATAGCTGGATCTGGATGTATATTGATAGTATATCAGTTATTTGGAATATATGCAAAAAACACATTATCTACAATATAATAAGCCTTCCACAAATATCATAAAGCAATAAAACAACTCGATATTAGAATAAAGTGATTATCTGGATATATAAAGATCAAAGGCAATAAGAAAGTAGATCGCTTAGCAAATATAGATGCAATTAGGCTATAAACTAGGTAATCAATAAGCTATAACAATCAGTGGGATCCGAACAATTGTATGTCAGAAGTATCTACATGTAGAATCTACTTGGTAGAAAGAGATGAACTCTTCTTTCTCTATTTGGTTACAAGGAGTGGTCTCCTAGATACAATATAAAGAAGCTAAAGGACCTAATTCTATCAAGAGTAGTCTTATATCGACTGATAGTTATGAAAACAGGCTATAGCGACTACGCTGCTTACTATCAGCAATTTGGTTATCAAAACAATAAGCTGGATTGTTCATACAGCAGCGCTAAGAAACCATATTACTTTTTTAAATGCATTATAAATAACCTAAAGCGTTCAGGACTGACTCTTTGCTTTTGTAGAAATGTAATCTAACAAGCAGGCAATTATATATATCAAGAAACTCTTATACACATTTAGTAAGCTCACTCAATTGATTATCGATTCAGAGTTCTATATTTAGATTTGTCCTAACTATTAAAGGACCTTTAAAAAGTAATAATCTTTTCAACAAAGTTTATTATTTATCTTTTATAAATTCATTACTTAACTGATTACTCGAATATATTATACTTCTAAAAACCACAAATCTAATATATAATACAAGAGCCTTACTACTCGGCTAAACAAATAGCAACCCTTCTCACTTCTTCTCCTCTACTATAAGGATCGAAGCCTACAACAAGTCTATTCATTTAGAAATCAAGTTCTACCTCAACAATAACCCGGATCAGATATTCCCTTCTAGAAACAAAAGCGGATCATACCTGCAGAGGAGCGAATAGCCCCTGGCATTAAAGTTAAATTGCTAAATTCGGTCACAACGATCACACCGCTCAAATAGTTCTTTATCTTAGCATATCTAAATACCCTTAGGGAGATCCAAAACAGATATTAATTAATATAAATAAAATAAATAAATAAATATATACCTAAGGCTTTCCTTAAGTATCCAGTATCCCCCAGTATACTGCAGCTGAATCACTGAGGCCTATAATACTATTATAGCCTATAAGCCAGTGATTCTACAGCCTGTTACTAATCCGTTGTAATAATATAGGATAATACCTAAAGATTCTTAAACTAATATCTAATCTATTAATTGTTTTTTTTGTATTGAGACTATCTTTTTTATATATTACACACCTTTTTTATAAAATAAATAGCTATTATATAATTTTAAAGAATAACCTTTGGAATTCTATAATCCAAAGTAACTTATCGGATTGAATGATTATTCATTATTACATATAAAGTTGAATTAATATCAACTTCAATATATATCTTAAATATAATATAATTAATAATATATCAAAATTTTAAATCAATTGATTTTAAATATTATAAAGTTATTAAAGAATAAATAAGAGAGATCCCTTCTTGCAGTGAGCTTTTTTAAGGTGGCCCAAAAGAGGGGTGGCCCGAAAGTGGGGGTATCCGACTTATAGGGGTAACATCCAGAGGCTTCTTTTGGAGACACAACGACGGATCTTACAAATGCTTCGTGTGCTTTGATAAGAGATGCCGATGTATTCGAATGCTGCGGCAGCACGGCATCCAAAGTTTGCTCTAACTCGGCATCCATTTTAACTGGTAGTTGAGCAAGGAAATTCAAATTGCTCTTGGATCCTGGTCCGAGGCCTTTTGCATATTCCGCTTTTACTTTTGAAACAGCCTCTTCATCTTTGCGCAGTAACTGGTCAATCGTGTCCAAATCCATCCTCGTCGCGTGCTTTGAAGGTAACCGTGACAAGAGGATGATTTTGCAAGTGCTCGCCGACGTTGGGATTGGATAACTTCAATTCCAATTGGCTCTAGAATCTTTGGGTTACCAACGCCTGAAAATTCAAGTAAACGCGTAGAATTAGTTGTGCCCCCCACTAAGAATGATTTCTTTGTTTGCCAAACGGACTTCGAAGTCCCAGTTTCACTATCACGAACCGTAACACCAACTGCAATGGGAGTATGGGAATCTGAATTTTCGAAGATGATTCGTTCGGCAGTAACCTTTGTCCAAATGGTGAGATTACTTCTTGACCGAACTGTGTCCTCCAAGTACGCCTTGGCTTAATAGCTTCTCTTCTTGTCGAGACCAATTGTTTCTCCCCCCATCAAGCTTCCAGAATGTTACCAGAAGTCAATCCATCCTGGGCAATCGAGAATCAAAGCGTAGCAAGTGTGTCCCTCCATACACACGGCCACTCTGTATCCTCTTCTGGGACGGTGATCTGGAAAGGGCTTTTGGCGGGATTCGTGGTGGATGTGGATGTGGCTAAAGTAAATCGATCCATAGACCTAGAAAAAGCTTCCCGGTCCCGGCCTGGATTGCCAAGGTTGGCCGAGGCATCGATGATTAATTTGGAGTTCGGAAGAAAGGCGAAACCGTTGATAGCGCTTGATCCTCCAAGCAAACGGCCGGCACTCGCTTAATTAGTGCTGTTTCCGATATTGGCCTTTGAATTCTTTAGCAAAGCAAGCGTAGATTACTTAAGACTCTCTTACCTGAGGAGCAGTCGAAAATCCCCAGTTGGCATCTGTAGTTATGAGAAGCGGACCCAATGATGGGATATTGATTCGAGGGTCACTTGTCAGGTCTTCTCCAGATTCTACAAGAAGGATTCGGTAACGCCCATTCTCCGAGAGCCTGTTTGCAAGCATGCAACCGGCTGTGCTGCCTCCCACGATGATGATATCAGAATTTTGAGAGTCATGATTATTTTGAGGGTCAGGTCCAAATTTTGATGGTTGGGCTTTGAGTATTGAAATAGAGAACTTTAGAAGATCGTTTTGACTATCGGGAATAAAAGGTGTAAACGATGTTATATATCCCTCTGATGCTTGTTTACCGTGAGGTATGCTAGGAATTTATCCTGAATGTATTCAATGGGATTTTTATATGGTAATTCTTGTTTCATCTGTCGCACAAGTATAGCCTCGATGCCAGAATTTGTCAACTATCTAGTCGTATAGGACAATAAAGATAAATAGTATCTGAGCTGCTAAACATAATATGGATTCTATAATATAGAGCTTGGGAGATTAGAAGAGAGTAATGTGCCTCCTCGATGCGTTTGCTCCGTCATATCTGTACACCGGCACTCACCAGATCTAGAGCAGAATTTCTTATTGCAATAAAAAGTTACAGTTGTAATATATAGCAAATTCAGCTACTTTAAAATAGAAAGAGATACTGATTTGTGATAAATTACTGCCCCTTGAGGTATAATGACCTCGAATACGAATGCTAATTACTAGGTAAGATCGTACCAATATAGTAGGTATCGTTTACCAGCTTACTCGCTTAATCTGACGATGAACGCACAGATCATATCCGGATTCGGATGAGCTTATGGTAATGAAGGGCATAGCAGCTGAATAAACATAGTTCAAGTGTACTTAGAACCTACAACTAGAGCTTGGAGGACTCGGAATCTGTTAAGTTCTTAGATACTAGCAATATATATGAGGTCAGTACATGTGTGCAAATTCATCTGTACTTAGTGGCAATGAGTATGCTGTAGATTGATCAGATTTGTAACTTCACACAAGCGAATTTAAAGAGTTGAATAAGTATTATTTGCTTGATGTTATTGACGCAAGTAAACTCTCTTTCAATAGCTTGAGAGTATTAGCAGCTTGATGAAGCCCTTGCGCTAGTTGCCTAGTGCTCTTTATATTCCCTGCTAGATCTCCAGGATATTCCTTCACCTCGGCGCCGTTGACGCTGAAAGGCTCACAGTCTAGAAGGACAAATACTGCACGAGCAGATTGTTCCTTCGAACAGTTACGCCATTTGTGCATCGTGGCTCTCTGCACTGAGACGTCTCCTGGCCTCATAATACGAGACTCATCATTGTCGAGAGTGATCTCCAGTTCGTCTTTAATCACAATACCATAGTCGAGACATTGCACGGTGCATTGGCGAGTCCAAGCCTGGAGCGAAATCGATAAGCTGACTACCGTTCCGTTCTTGATATGAATGCTGGGCTGTTAAGGATGTGAGTCATTGATCTTGATATCTTACTGGGACTTGCAAAAGCACAGCATACCTCATTTTCTCTTGCATATTAGATATCTGCATAATTTTCCAGATTCACCGAGTTCCTGCTTTTGGTATAGATTATGTTCGCGACAGCATGGCCATTGACCAAAATTTCATGGTGGCCACCATGATCTGTCGGTAAGAAAATGCCTTTGCCTTCCTCGTTATGAGTGGTCATTAACCGAACGCTGTTTCGTAGATCGTCAGCGGGGAACTCTGAGATGGGGCCCTTTGCGGACTGACTTGCAATTGGGGAGGTCATTCTGATGGATGGAACTTTTAAGATATCAGAAACCCTAATTCCAGCTGCAATTACCAAGAAGTAAAACTTGTGGAAGAAACACTGACAAGTATAAATGACAGGACAGGATTGCGATTTGAGGGGTTTGACTTGGATATGCTTGAGCTTGTTGCGGATTCACTATTGGTCTTGGACTTAATTTAATCTCTTGTACATGAGTATTAGTCCCTGTCTCCGTACGCATATAAAATCTGCTCTTTCGTCAATGAGAAGAAACGAGCACCTAGTTGATCTATATTTGGTTACCTCAAGATTGAAAATGCCAAAAATAATTATTATTATTTTATCCAGTACATTAAATCAACCGATAACATTGATCATGTCACGGGTTCACTAGCGTAGTATATTAGCGTAGTGGATGCTTAGTCATCTTTGCCAATATATGGCAAAGTTACATCGTACCACTTTCAACCTCTTTGTAGAATATCATATATCCAATCTAGTACCTATCCTTGCACCGTGATAGATCATTTCTCAATTCCACTCGTTCAACTAGGCCCGATTTATATCCGCCTCCTTACTGCAGCTCAGAATATTAGAATAGAATAACTGAGTTTCAAAGTTCTCATCAAGTTGCTACTCGGTATTGTTAGTATTGAGTTTTAACGAAAACATCTGAATTTTGTAGAAGATCCGGTCTCAACCTCTAAATTCATAATAAATTAATAAATGAAAAGAATAATAATTGAAATACAACTATATGATTAATTTGAGAGTAGATTTTATATTTCCTCTCCACTAATCTAATCGACGAAATCTAAATATAGATTCCTTTAAGAACTATTCGTTACTAAATAATGAGCACAAGCAATTAATTCTTTTGTAGTGATTGACTCGACATTAGGTCAGAAATTCTCTTTACTTCACATATGACAATATAGACCTAAATAACTAATGAGCCTATAACTATGAGATAGAAATATCCGGCATGGTGTAGCCCCACCCTGACTTGCCAGCTCGCTAATCCTCACCCACGAAAATCTCTGCACATCCACAAGGGTTTTTTCCCGTATTTCTCCGTCCCAATATCATTCAAATAACGATTGCTCAGGTATACAAAACAGTAACAATCGCTCCGGCATGGTGTAGTGGCTAGCATTTCCGCCTCTCATTCGAAGCTTTCAAGCTTCAATCAAGTCGCGGGAGACCGGGGTTCAATTCCCCGTACCGGAATTCTTTTTTGCTGTCAAATCGTGCACCTGTTCCTACAGATCAATTTCAATATCTCTTTTGTCTTTTTGTCCCCTGGAATCTTAATGATGGATGCAAACCGGCATACAGACATCAAGTTATGAATATGGAGAAAATATTTTTTCTGGGCACTAATTTTATACAGATCTAAATAAACCTCGACATCTTATCAAAACGGCTCTCATTTTATATTCTCTATTTTATATTCTCTCTATTCCCTTGACCTTATTCAATTAATAAGTATCGTGTAGTTGAACTAATACCTCAACATTACATTCATCCACCTAGGCGGGATTCTGTTCTGTCAAACTAAAGAAAGTGGCGTCCAGACGTCGCTTGGGAGGGTAACAGCCACTTTTAAAAATTCCCCCTAGCCACACCCCACAATGAAAGTTTTTACTCCGTACCTATTCATGCCCAGGTGTTTATCAACGCTCCACCAAGCAGATATGATCATCTATTCCGAATCATTTTTGTGTAAGTATTGATAGTATCTTAATACTATCTAGGTACATATCTGAAGATGGCTTTCCACAAGTTATACACTCATACAGATGTAAGCTTTTCTTCGACCAATAAAAGCCAAGTGGCCTAAAGGAATGTCGCATTGCATTTTTGGTCAGCATACATTTTACGATATCAACGGCCTGTTTATATATTATCTCTTGACGCCTTATTAGTCGCAGATACTGAATATCAAACACAAATCTATCACAAAAAGTTACAGTCAAGTCTGCGTGCTCCTTCATTATCGTTCTTATTATATTTTATATACTATACAAAGTGTGTTCACCATGAGATGGATCTCAATTCCAAGAATCCACTTTTTAGACCCCGCTGGGGTTAGCAGCCCCGCTACCACAAACTGATTACTCTTGACCGCCTTTTACGCATATTGCGCATCTCGAATCTGGTACGGATGTGCTTTCGCAAATAACCTGTTGTAGGCTGTATGAAAACATCCGATGGGATTTCTCTCTGTTCAGTGCGTTGGCATATAGACCTTATTCAGTAATGTGTGGGGCCCGACCCGGCCAAGTCAATGCATAGGGCAGCAATCTGCAGGCATGGGTCTCGAAATGCGTCACATTCGATTGACAGCCTCGTTTTTTTTTCTTCCTTCTTTTCGTTCTGAAGTTTCCTTCTTTCCCATTGCGAAAGAATTTCCCTTCTATTTGTATTGCCAGCTGCATCTTCATAGTGACACCAATAGACCTGCAGGTGATCATCCATCGACAAATCTAATTCGTGCCTCTAACTCCCAGCCCATAGTAAACTACTGCAGAACAGTTATACAAAAAATTGGCCCATTTCATGTGGATACACACTTCTTCTGATACCAAGCAACAAGGCTGTAATATTATCCATACATGGAGAACATAGATGTGGCTGCCTCTGATAAGGCGAGAGTTTCAGAGCATTATTCGGAAATGGATCGAGGACCTGCAACGCAGAACGACACTTCCCATCGAGTTTCAAGTCCGTCGGAAAAAGCAATGGATAGACAACGCGAGGCTCAAGAATACATTCGCAATCGTCGAGCACAAGCAACTGTCACAGACGAGGCAGATGAGAATGTCATCGATAACGTTGCACAATTTGGGCCACAAAATATAAGTAGAGAAAGTGAAGATGATGAACAAAAGCTACTTGCGACATTAGCAGAAAAGTATAACTACAATCTATATCTAGTGAGTCTGATTGAAAGGAGGCCTTCCCAATTCCCTCTTTTACAATATAGTGAAGTCTCAGACTGATCATTCGAAAGCCGCCTGGGAACTCTGGAAGCCCTATAATAGAGCATACAAATTACGCTGCTCAATTACATCGTGGCCAGCAGCCGTCTTTGCCACAGACACGTCAAATAATAGATGGGCCTGAATCCTGGCACCATACTCGTCCCAGGAATCGTTCCGATTCTCCACCTGTCGAAAATACCCCTCGATCCCCCTCTCCATCGATACGACAGCTCGATAGCACGCAAATAACTCCTTCTCCGCCACCACCTATTCCAACAGCTCCAATATCTGACTTTCGTCCTGGTCCTATCTTTTCTAATTCACACATGCCTTATCAAGCGAATAATACTCGATCTAACTACACAACAAATCTCAGGCAATATGCAGATAGAAACCGGGGACCAGCTAATAAGCAGGCTGCCGAGAGACCGGCGTTCGAGAACAATACGGCTAATTCTGGAACGCAACCATCTGTAAACAGTGAGTATAGATATTCGATACCCGAGGCTAGAATTTGAAGCTAAACTCATGCGCCCCTAGGTCAGCTCTCGGAGAGATACAGACATAATCAGATCACATCTCCTCCGCATCAAAAGTCCCAATCGCCGCAGGCGACACCTACGCAATGGGCGGCGCCCAAACCTGCTAGGAATAACACCAATATTGTCCAGAATCTTCAAGAATCAACGGCTCTACAGTTAGCGGAGTCTGGATCTCAATCTTCTAGACTTCATCCTGTATCCTATTCTTCTCAGTCGCGGCAAGATGCCAGTCAACAAAACATAGAACAGGGGCATGATCCCTCACATGCGAGTGGCTCAGAACTTTGGAGTCATAACAGTAGGATTCCGCAAAAGAATTACCCAACTCCCGACAGTCTGTCAAGCAATAGTCGTCGTCAAATGTCATATGCGCCACAGAATAATACCCACAGCAGTCCTAAAACCTTCGGTCATGCGCTAGCCGGGCAAATTGCAACAGTCCAACAAGGCCACCATGGAGGAGGGCACGGACATGATACATATGGTCCCCGTCACGAGCATGATATGGGCCACCCGAATTATGGCTATGATCAAAATTCTCAAGGAGATTTCAGTCCGCGTATGTCATGAATTCATTTCTTCGGCATCTTTCATTGGCAATACTAACTCGTTCTAGCAACTACAATTCCTAATCCATCGAATTTCACTCCAGAATCTCATGGAAATTCCACTCGTGGTCATGCAGGAGGATATAGTTCTGAACATCAGTTTGAGCAAGCCATGGACAACCGTAGACCACGTGAGTAAATTGATGTTAATTCTTGCCAATGCCTACTGATCAATGACTAGAAATTCACGGATCAATGTCGTCGCCCACCCTTCATCGCCATAACAATTTCGTTGATTGGAGATCGCAGCTTTGCCAGCTATTTAATGCACCATCGGACAGCCATGACGAAGACCTTTTCAAAATGTTGGAAATGACCAGGAGCAAGCTTTTACCCGACACTCAGAATTCCAATCAAGAAAAATTAGCCTTACCTTATCATACGATTTATCGAGTCAGATGCCATCAACATGGGCAGACCCACATGTTTTTGGATACCCCTTGGCTCGTGAAAGACGGCCCCACTAGTGGCCATATTCATGGCAGCATGATTGTACGAAATATTGCTCTACATACGCAGCAATATACAAATTTGTCGTTTATTGTATACAAAGACTATGCCTGCTGCAAATCCAAGATCAACTTATTGAAGCCAGAGAATTCCTCAAAACTACAGCCTGGAGACTCGGAACAAGCTGGTTTGAATGATGAGAATCAACTTGCAGAGTTCCTTGAAGGCGAGTCAGTATGCTTGATCGGCAGTGAGCTATCTGCCGGTCTAAAAAGACTTACTAGGCAGAATATTCAAGAGAACTCATACTACCCTTCATTTAATGTTGGGACTGAGTTTAAGGCACCATATCCATGGTTTTATCATCAAAGAGCTCCTTTGGAAGAACGAAGACGTCAACTAAAACCCGAGCTTTTGACTCGTGTAAATTCTTTTGTGGAATACGTCAACGAAAGTTTTGGGCCCGAATATGCGGTAGTTGATGCGCTTCTAAGTCAGGGAAAAATCACGCGCACATATTTGTGTTATCTCTACGTAAGTGAATTCTTGGACCACAGGTGAGAGCCTACTAACATCGTTACCAGAGCCCCGATACCGTCATATTGCGCACCGAAAAACATGACATAGGAAAGACAAAAGCTTACTTGACTAAATCATGGCTTCATCTGCCAGTAGCAGGAAGCTCGAATGAGAGTGGAGAGCCAGCTACATTGGCAACTTCCTTGCTAGTATCTTCTTGGTCATTTGATGGCCTCTTCCAAGAGAATGTTGAGTTGATTACAATTGATGACTTTAAAACACCAGAAGAGATTATAAAAATCACCGCTCTCAGAACCTATCCAATGCGCTACGCCGATCCCACCATTGGCACATCGCTTAGGAAACAAGGAGAAATGTTCTGGAAATTCCGCAACGCGTGCTACGTATATTATAGTGAAGAGGACGAGTCCTTAGAAACTATTGTAAGCAATCCCGATAATGAAATCTACTTCAGTAGGCTAGCTAACATCAAATTCACTCACAGGGGCAGTCCAGGTACATGATTGATATCAAGACGTACAAGAAGTTGCACCCAGCATCTGCTGGCGCCAAAGCACCCAATCGTGATGATTTAGGTCCCTTGGTCATGGAATCTGACGTGCCACCAGAGGGAGTTTTCACCTTGCTTTTGCCTAACACGATTATTGGATTCAATATTCAGGAAAAGAAATGGGGTATGTAATACCAGACCCACCGATTACTTCCCGTTTGCTAATATTATTCGTTAGTCGATCTTGAAGTCAGTCGCATGTATGCAGTCAAATGGAACAAGGATGCATTTGAAACATTGGCCGGAGACAACGACATGAAGATTCTCATTACAGCCTTAGTCGCAAATCAAATCAAAGACGAACAAAGTCCAAGCCTCGTTGGCAGGAAGGGAACTGGCTCAGTCATTTTATTGCATGGGTAATTGATACATACCCCAGATCTTTTGATCTACGCTAACAAAGCATCAACAGCTCTTCTGGAACCGGTAAAACCATGACAGCGGAAAGTGTAGCTGAGGTAGTTGAGAAGCCACTCTACATAGCCCCATGTAGCGAGATAGCGACCACACCAGAAGCCCTACAGAGATCACTCCAACAGATCTTTTATCTAGGAAGAGTTTGGAAATGCGTCATACTCCTCGAAGAAGCCGAGCTATTCCTCGAGAAACGAACTTTAGGAGATCTTCGTCGCAACGCATTAGTTTCTGTATTTCTACGAGCACTCGAATCGTACAACGGGATTGTCATTTTGACGAGTTCTTCCATTGCCGCTGTGGATGAGGCGCTCAAATCCCGCATTCAGCTTTCCCTTCGCTATGCCCCTCTCACTTTGACCCAACGAACTAAGATATGGGAATCTCATATCACGCAGCTTGAATCATTGGAATCTCTTTTCAACCCTTCCACAATAAACATCACTGAGCTTCGCGCAAATATATCTACACTAGCTAAGTACAAGCTCAACGGCCATGCAATCGGCCATGCTGTCCGAACAGCCCGACAGCTAGCTTTATGGAAGGGCATCCCAATGGGATTCGAAGAATTACAGTATGCAGTCAACGATGCAGGAGGCTACGACGATTCAGACGAAGAAGACAAAAGAAACCCGGGAGAAGCAATGAAAGGGGTTGTGGAGGATGCAGATGATGATCCTTTTGATGGCGTGGAGGATTTAATGAGTGTTGCTGGGTTATGATTGATGATTGACGAGTTATGACTTATGATTTATATATAATTCGCGGTAGGTAGCGAGCGTTCGTTTTGTACAGGAATGTCTTTCTTTTGACCTTTATGTACCTATGGAGCGTTGCATTCGTATCCACGTTTGCAGCGAAATTTGTGGGAGGGATTTTTCTGTTGTTTTTTCTGCGTATACCATTCTTGCTTGATAATTATTGATGAGTAGGATAGTGGAATATATATATTATGTTGTCGCACTTATTATCTTCGCTCGTTACATTCAGATAAACGAATGCTGTTTAACTTATCCAAGATTTTGTGGGCACGAAACCTCTCCCTTTCCGCTTCTGATAGCTACCAACAAGTAGACAACACCCCTTCAGTCTAGAATTATGCAAATTAAAGTGGAAGGGGGCACTTCTAGTAGGACGATTTTTATGAGAAAAGTGTATGAGATTGAATTATAGATTCAGATGATAGTTTTCTAATATCATATTCTCATCCCAGTCCAATACCAGATCTGATTACTCATTATCACTTTCTTAGCTAGATTCAACCATTTTCCATCTAATATTATCCTAGTAAGAAGTGATTGCTCCTCTTCCACTCTTTCAAGTACGCGCTATCAAGTGTTTTCCGTTCTGTGCCCCAGGCGATGAGAAGTAGAAAACTGAGAATAAACATGCATTCGTATCAACACTAGTGCTGCAACAAAACCATGCAACAATAACAAACAGTAAACTAAAATCATTCACATGGCCATATCTCGAAATACAGGTAGTTGATATCTTAGGCACAAATTATGATTATCGATGATCGTAACACAAAACAAGGTCATCCACCTGCCATCTAATGCGCAAACCTAAAATCTAATCTTGAACTCCCAGTCAATTTCGTATTCCTCTTGTAATCCTGCTGTTCCTCAGCCGTCATGGCATTCCACACCTTATCTCTCTGCTTGTTCCTCATTATATAGTAAAATTTCGTAAATAAGAACACTGCAATGGAAGCAATATTTATAATGATCAATTGCGTATTACCACGATGATATAACGGCTTATCATCAGTTCTGTAAATGAAGTTTGCGCAGATATTTCCCAGTTGTACTGCCATGTTGTAAAGAGCAGAGGAGACAGAGCGAGTGCCAACATTATTAGAGTTTTTGGAAGTCCATGCTACGAGAATGGCGTGGCAATAAGGATATGATAGAAGCACTGTGACCAGTGCGTATGTGTTCCAAGCCTGGACTCCTGAACCTGGCCAAAAGCGAAGCGCGATGATACATGGGAGGGTCCATAGCGGTTGTATCATGGAGACCAGAGTTCTTTCTTTGACGCGTTCAGATAGTTGTGTGATAAGAAGTAGCGTGATAATGTGGAAGGCTGAATAAGGAATTGTCAATAAGTTGGTGTTGAATGTGCTGAAACCCAGGTTCTTTAGGGTGAGAGTAATGTAGGAAGTAGGTGGGGATTGAGGAATATATGCGATCAACCCAATAGCATAAAGTGGCCAAAGATCGTAATCCTTTGCTGCATTCCAGAGTTTCTTTGGCGTAATTGCTTGTCGGTTGTGCATATCGCCTTTTGAAGGGTCATCTCGGAGAACTCGATTGACGACGATGGATATCTCACGATCAGTAAACCAGCCTTTTGGTCGAAACCATGTTTTGGTTTGGACTGCAGACGCTGGCATCATGAAGAAAGAAGCAAGGCCAACTAGCAAAGTAATCAAGCCCTCAATTAGGAACAGCCAACGCCATCCTGCCCATCCCGATACACCCCGTAGATGAAGTAGAGCAAAAGCAAGAATCGATGTGATGATAGTGGTTGCGGAAAGTGTAGTCCAGAAGAAACTGAGTCGGACAGGAAGTTCCTTGGATGTATAAAAGTATGATAGCCACAAAACGATGTCTGGGATAAACCCGCCCTATCAAGTGGTGAGTTTCGAATTTTCAAGCTCGGAGTTGACAATGAAACCTACCTCAAGAAGACCCAGCATACTTCGTGTGGCATAGAATCCAGATTTTCCTTTGAGCGCACACTGAGACATAGCAACTACCGACCAGAGGGTTATCTGCATCGGAATCCATCTATCGGGTCCAATCTTCTTGGAAATTAATTGTGAAGGTAACTCGGCTAGCAAGAACGAAAACAAAAAAATCTGGTTGCCGAAGTTGTAGTCTATGTATCGTTAACCCCAGAGCGCTTTCTACATAAGAGGAGAGTTATAACCAACGTACCATTTGTACTCAAGTTCAGGTCATCCAACAGATTATCTGCAACAGCTTGTGTTAAGTTCCCACGATCGACTTGTAAACCGAAGAACATTATGCACTGGAATGTTGTTAACAATGATCTAAAAGATCCCGGAATCTCAAACTTACAGCCCAGAGACAAACTCGCCAATCTAGCCTTCGAACCAGTCGTCGTTCTTCTTCCTCCGTCCAAGTGAAATTGGGGTCAAAGGCATGCCGGCATTCATATTGCGATTTTTCGTAAACCCCAGTCCAGTGTTCCCTCACATCGGGGTCTAAAAAAGGATTTTTGGCAAATACGGATCCATCCTCATCTGAGTCGGAGCCCGTAGAAACAAAAGTTGCATCTTTTACAGGAATTGGGTCGCCAAAAGTTGTTACTTCCTCGTACTGAAGCGAGTCATCTGGTTGTCGCGCGGCACCACTCTTAGGCTCTGTCTTGTCTGTGGCATCTTTAGACATCTTCGAATGTATGCGACTTTGATCTCTCACTTGATCTGTATTGGGATGTAGAAAACTAGATACTTATACCACGCGATGGTTTTAAGATATGCTCATGCTACAATATCAGCTATATTGTGATTGGTGCGAAAGGCCAAGAGACACTGCAGGTGTGCGGGACTACCGAGGGCAGACACTTATTGAGAAAGATCCACTGGAAATCACACAATAGAGGTATCTCGGAGTAACAAACCTTTGTGGCAAAGACAATGCAGCGACATTATCCATAATCTCGGATCGAGACCTACCTTTCCCTCGTAATAATGTCCGAGAAACGAAAATAGTTAAAACTAACAAAGTTTTCACGTCTTGATACCAGATAAGCCCATGACGTGCTTTTTGATGGCGCACATAAATTATACTAACACATTGAATCTTTTCACTGTCAAACGCATGCTGTGTAGACAGCATGAAATTCTCGGGCGCCACCATAAGAGTATATTCCGGGGCATGCTCCAAAGTAGTCATAGAAGCCCTTGCGAGAGAGACTTCATAGTCAATATTCGATGAGAGAATCTCTAGCGCACTTGTCGCCATAAAAGCCCGTCCCAATAGTTTACCCTTTTATCGACGAAAGTAGCTCACGGCACAAGCATTGGCCACAAGCACGAAACTCTTATCAGTACTGAGGGCACATATGATGTTCCGTCTGCATGGGAAGCTACAAATTTGGAGAGTTGATGTAATGGGAGATTGGTTGGGTGTGCATATGGCATGCAATACCTGTAAAAACATATGTTGTCATCTGTCCCCGGACTTTCGTAATTGTTTCGCAATCGATTCAATTTTCGGACAAAATTATTAAAAAAACAATTACATGAATGGGTGAAATCTCTCCCGTGATTTGTGAAATGTGTAGATAATATGCTGCCAATAGCTTGGCTTTCGCTGTCTACATTCGACAATCTCGCCGTCTTTGCATTGTGATCTGTATGTATGTCAATTGAAAATCCGTTGTTGGAGTGAAGTTCTGATGGTAGCCGTGGTGGAGAAATGCCTTAACCTTTGATCACGTGAATGAGAACTTTATGGTCAATGTCCACATCCGCGACTTCCTGTCCCCAAGATGAACACCCTCGAATGCAAAAGAAGTACAATCTGAATGAGCTATATTGCTCTTTGTGACATTCATGAATAAATATTTTCTTGAGCCATAAGTTCTATCTTTATATGTCGCTATAGATGTTCGCGAGCAGACGGCAAGTGACTCATTCACCCGTGTTCATAACTACATTCATGACGATATCTACCTACCAAGACACAAGCACAAGCGGGTAGTATTTGTCCAATGACAGTTTACAAGGGTTTATATCGATCATTTTGTTCATGTTATTCATTGTACTATCGTGCAGCTATTTACATCAAATGCCTAGGGCATCTCTTCTAGACTCGCTCTCGGGGTCGAAAAATGGCTTTTCTCCAACGCTAACGGCTCTGACACCATATCTTTCACCCTGTCCTTCAAGATCGTCTGTGGCCGTGTGGAAAGTTGAGCGGTTGTCCCAGATAGCTATATTTATCAAAATTAGTACAAACGAGCTATGGGATACTGCAAAAAAACTTACCAAGATCATTCTGGTTCTTCCACTTGAATCGCACCTGCAAATCATGATTGTCCACCAACAATCGCTTAAACCAACCCAAAAGTGCTTCGCTCTCCAATCGAGTAACATCATTGATATGACTCACATGACCTCCAACTGGGAAAACAGATTTCCATCCAGTGACTGGGTTAGTTCTCACTACTGGATGCACGGCTTTCAACTCCTTTCCCACATTTTCTGGAGCTCCTCTTGGCTTATCGTACAATTCGAATCCACCCTTTGCAGCAGCTTCAATGAAGCCAGGTTGTTGGAATGTTACAGTCAGACTCTCGAGGAACTTTTGGTAGGGTTTTGAAATTCGATCATAGATTTCATATCCACTTGCCCACAATGTGTCGCCTCCCGTTTTTGGGAGTACCTCTAATTTCAAACTAGAATAATCGGCAGGCTTTGGCTCGAAAGAAACATCTGCATGCCATTTGGAAGTATTTTGGAGACCATTTGCTCGGTCGAATTTTGTGTCGCTGTAAAGTTTCTTGTTGAGCACCGAGTCAATTGTACTAATCTCTGGGTCTGTCACGCGGTATCCTTCTCTCTCTGGATTGAGAAGCGGATGGATGTGAAGACCTGAAGTGGATGGCTTTCCTGAAAGGAGACCAATGCGTTGCACAAGTTCCTTTTGCAAATCGGCAGTGAGACTATCTTGTTTGCGGAAGAATACCACGCCACGTTGGGATACTAAGTCATTGTTAGCATCCATAGACTTACTATAACGTTATGTTTCATTGGGACTTACTAGTAAGAGCAAGCTCGCGTAAGAGCTCATCGGCATTGGGAGCTTGAAGCCATTCTACCAAATTAACATCTGGAAACTCGCGGCCGATAACAGGAGTAACATCAAAGGACTCAAATTGATCTAGAACGCCAGTGCTCTTCACCCATTTTTCTTGACTGGTGGACTCTGTCTTGATGTTGTCGTTGCCTTTGTTAAGGCTAACGACTGGAGCTGATTGGGCTTCTGTTGCAGCGGGAGCCATGATATATCGTTTGAAGATTTTGTATCGTTCTTTGGACCTGGATGAATAGGATGAAGAATTAATGTCGAGGTTCTCAAACAAAGAGAGCTAGAAATCATGATGCTTTTACAGAAGGGGTTTCTTCAGTCTATGTAGTCGAATTCGGATATGCGAAGGTCCTTTCAATTTTGACTTGATATACTGATAACACAGTTCTATACCGTCGGAAGAACGGCAAGTATGGCGAAATACAGAAGATGCATGGCGAGACATAGCAATCGTACGTCGGTTGTGTGATTTCAAACCTAAGCTGGAGTGCAATGTAAGCATATCGGATGTCTACATGCGTGAATCGAAATGCACCGTGATGCAAAAATGATATGATACAGAGAGTGGGTTACTAGATAAGAACGCGGGGAAATAATACTGAAAGTTTTGGATGTAAACCCTGCTATGTGTTTTGTGTGGTTCATGCTGCGATAGGGGGTCTAAATCGCGTCATATTTAAGACGAATGTTATTGGATACTTGGCATAAGAGATTGTATTAATCGTGATTCACACCTTAACTGAAATTTTTAGGAACATAGCTCTTTAATGTCAGTGCTTAGCAATCACCAATCTGCAAACGACTTTGTATCATCGTCGTCTAAGTATTATTCCGTGCCCGCTAACCCTCCTCTTCGCTTACATACAGGAGCTATTCGTAGGAGAGAAAACAACGGCTGGGTTCGACCACTTCATAATACGTCCAATCATTCTATCATTTCCTCCACATTTGTTTTATCTGTAGTTGGTTTACATTCAATCAGTTAGAGGATTCTAGTAAAGATTGAATAAATCGAATTCGGCTTCCCGTACGAATAGGCGAAGTCAACTGCTGATTTCTGAACCTCCCTGACCAATTGCTACTGGTAACAGTACAAAATGAAAGGCAAAGTTACGGAGTTCAAGAGCGAAGTAACGAAAGGGGCGTGCATCTAAAGACTCAACGTTTACTGCCTAGTTCCAGGCTTCATACTTTCTACTCACTTCGAGATAGTTTACTATCTAGGCGTTGATGGTAGGTAGGGTTATGTACAATGCCTATGTGGTGAACGAGCCGGCCTTTCAAAACTGGACGATCAAAACTATCATCACGTGAATGAAGGTGAGAGTAATGACTGACTTTAGGAAGTGTATCTAATTCCATTTGCATCTCATTATTCTATAGAGATGCGCGTGTAGACGTGTACGAGCATGCATCGAATCCAAACTCCTGTTCTCCCACCTGCTGATCCGTTTTTTTGAGGGGGATATCTAAACGCCATGCCAATTCAACCATAAAAGCAAAACCAAGCTATGCACTGCCCACCCATTGCCACATCATTTTATACAAGAATGTCATTATACCTCATGGTAGGAGGAGAGTCTCATGACCTTACATGCAGGTCTTGAACAAGCCCGTTCATGTGCTGAATTAATTGACAATTCAAGCAACATTTCCAGCCATGCCCATAAATATTGCCTGGATTGCCATAGAAATTGACCAAAATCCCACCTTTTTCAACCGACGCAGGCGGGCCTGACTGTCTACCACATCTTTCGCAAATGCTTCATAAGTCTCTGCAGACATATCATCCATTAATCCGCTATCGAAGATGGTCCAGCTACCATCAAAATCACTAGCTCGTTTCACGATTCGACAATTTATGGGTATGAATGTTTTCTTCGCGTTGATATAGGCGACGATGGGTCGGATCAGGGCCTGATTAACGTAGGATAAGTCGCGAGTGAAGAGTGGCACGGCTGCTTTCACGTCATTAAGATGAATACGAAGATCCATGACAATGTAGCGTTTATTGTCATCGTGAGAGAGTTTCTCCGCCGAAGCATCAGGCTCAGCAGGCGTGTCTGGTTCTTCTGTCCGTGAGTTGTTTTCGAGGATGTGGAAATAACGATTGGATGTTACAGCTTCTTCCATGCGGTCGTAAAAGTCGGACATAACCTTGGCGATACTGTCATCCGCTTCAGTTGGAAGCATGACATCAGAAACAATGTCAACATTTCCTTCATGAATCCAGCCAAACGGCCCTTCCACTCCTCGATTTAAATGGTCAATTTTGAGGCCATCTATGCGGAGACGACTTTGCTTTTTCCAAAGGCTTGACCCGTCATTTCCAGAAGAGTCAAGAGCGTGCGAGCCAGCAAACCCGTGGATCTGTCGAGGATGGATTGTGAAAAGAGATCCGTCAAAGGCACCAGACATGTTGCTCGCCGAAAGGAAATCATAGAATAGCCATTGTTTCCGCAACTGGGGCAAATCGCATGAGAAGATGCTGACAGAGAAGGGTCGGAAGCCATTGGGTTGATGCACGGTAACCAAGAGATCCTCCAGTTTGAAAGAGTCCATCTCGAAATCGC